TAAATTTGATTGTGGAAGAGGTTGAATAGCTCTATCAATACAGGGAAAGCCTTATTAAATTGTGACTTAAATATTATATTTCAATATACCTGTTAAAATGTACATATTTTTTCTATCTTAATTACATTTTTGTTTTTTAAAATACTGAATCATAGATCTCTGCTGATGACTTTTAATCACTTTTTCTAGAATTTAAGTTTTTAATTATATGATAGGTGACACATTTTATGGTATTGATTGAATAGTGATTTTATTTTGCTTTACAGGGAATTAAACTCAAAGACTACCTTGAAATTTGTGCATACATCCTTTCATGGGGTTGGACATGACTATGTACAGTTGGCTTTTCAAGCATTTGGTTTTAAACCTCCAATTCCAGTACCAGAACAAAAAGATCCTGATCCAGACTTTTCTACTGTTAAATGCCCAAATCCTGAAGAAGGAGAATCTGTGCTGGTATTTTATTTAAACTATTATTAGTTTATTAAATCATCAGACTAGATAACACTTACTTACAATTCAGTTATTTACAAAAGCAGAAAACACTGTAGATTTTATCGTTTAAATTACATTAGTACAATAGGGTTGTTTGTTTGTTTGATATCTCCGTGATAGGTATCCCTACTTCTAGGCTTATTATTTTAAATTTAGCTAAACTGTAGATCTTTTAAAATCCATACTAACATAATTCCTACATTAAGGAATATTAAGACTGAATTGAGTTTCTTCAGTACGATGTAGTTTTCTGGGATCACTGTTTCAGGAACTTTCTCTGAGGCTGGCAGAAAGAGAAAATGCACGAGTGGTTCTTGCCACAGATCCTGATGCAGACCGACTGGCAGTGGCAGAACTTCAAGAGCAGTAAGTGGAACCTGTGTCTGAAGAAAAGCTTGAGCTTCAAGGGGCTGTGCTGCAGCTCAGTGGTAAAGTGCCTGATCAGCACAGCATGACTAAGGCCTGTTTGTGACCACCAACACTGAAAAAAAAGAAGTTTGAGCTTTTCAAAGCAGTTTTTTACCATAAGTCTTACAGGCTTATTGAAAAAATAACATAAAACTTACGTGAGCCTATTACTTGAAATGATCACCTAAGTTGATATTTCAACATTTTTTTCATTTTCTGAATCAAATAAAGACATTTATTTTTATAAAATTATAGTGATGTTATATATAGTTTTATATCCTGTTTTCTATTTCAATTGCACTCTAAGCATTTTTCCCTGTGATTATTGTGTTTTTTGAACCTATTAATTTTAAAAACAGCATAATATTCTAACAGATTACTTTATTAATATAAATCATTTCCTAATCTTGGTCCTCTAATTTGCTATGTGTTTTTGCCATTACATGTGATGGGTGTCCTTACATAAAGATGTAAACATTATAATTTTTGTCTCATTAAATAGGAGAATAAAAGTAGCATTGTAATAAATTTTCCAAAAGATATTACAACCATTTCTACCCTAAAGGTTATTCCTGGTCAATTAGAAAGGTAGTAGTAGTATTTTCTGAAAAGTCTAGTATAGTAGGGTTTAGTCTTCACTATTTGAATGATGGTAACTTTTATGTCTTAGGGTCAAGAAGTTTTGATGGGAAGCTAGAAAGGTATTGACTGAATTTTCATTCTCTCTGCAGTGGCCACTGGAAAGTTTTCACAGGGAATGAACTGGCAGCTTTGTTTGGATGGTGGATGTTTGATTGCTGGAAAAAAAATAAAGCAACCAATGCTGAAGTGAAGAATGTTTATATGTTAGCCACCACTGTCTCTTCTAAAATTTTGAAAGCAATTGCACTTAAAGAAGGATTTCATTTTGAAGTAAGCATATTATCCGTGTGGTGCTTTTCTCAACTTATACATATTTTAGGCTAAAGACATCTTTCCAACCAGACTGATATCCATTGATTTTATTTATGATTCCCTTACTTTTCCTTATTCTGTTCACATTGCTTACTATTTTGATAATTTAAACACCTGAGCAAGATTCATTTCATATATGAGTTTTTGACTGAGATATTCTTCAAAAATTACATCAATAGTCAGATGTGATTGTGCACTCTGAGCATGCAAAAGGATAGAGCAGGAGAATTGCTATGAGTTTGTGTTCAGCCTGGACTACAAAGTGAGTTCCAGGCCAGACTGAAGTGTATATTGAAACCGTTTCTTTCTTTCTTTTTCTTAACTGCTCACTAAATATAGTAAATATTTATTACTATTTGGGTACATTTTCTTTTTATTTCCAGGCTATGATTAAGCATTTAAAAAATTTTATAGAGAATACAAAATAGTAAAACAAATAAACATACATACAAACAAAAACATAAACAAAGAATCAGAAATGATACAGAATTTCACTAAACAAAATAATAGGAATTCAACAATATTTGTTATATTGTATGTTATCTTCAAATTAATTATTTAGATTACCAGATCTACACATGCAAAATTGGAAAAAAAGTTATAAGAAACTAAAAAGAAGAATAAAAATGTAAGGATTAACTCCTTCTTTCAATGGATAAGCAGAATTAAGCAATGCAATTGTTCAAGCCATCCTACATACATACGTTGATATATTGTTCCCCCATCTTCCGCTCATCCCAGTTTTTCTTTCCCTTTTCACAGTATCATAGTATCTATTGTACCTTTTAGATTTTATTTGCTCTTTCAGGTTTGTACACTAGTGAGACAATACAACGTTTGCACATGTGGATGTGATTTATTTCACTTAAGAATATGGTCTGTAGTTGCATCCATTTATCTACAGAAACCTCAGTTATCCTCTGTAATAACTAAGTAATGCTCCATTATATACAAATATCACATTCTTTATCCATTCCTCAGTTAATGGACATTTAGATTATTTCCAAGATTTAGCTATGACAAATTGCACTGCTGTAAACATGGGTGCACATGTATTGCTGTGGTAGATGTTTTTTACTTCATTTGGAAAAATGTCCTGGAAAGGAATAGTCGGGTTGAATGAAACCTTCAATCCTGTTTTTTTTTATGTTGATTTCCATAATAGTTGTACCAGTCTACACTTCCACCAACAGTGCAGAAGGGTTCCTTCTATGATACTGTGAAAAGGGTAAAACCACAGCCCTTCTGGCATTTGCTATTGGTTTACTTGTTGATGATAAGCATTTCTTTTTCAGTGTTGTTTTAATTTGCATTTCTCAAATGACCAATGATGTTGAACATTTTTCATATATTTATTTGCCACTTGTATTTCTTCAACTAAGAAGTGTATATTCATCTCAGATGCCCTTTTTTGGATTGGGTCTTTGAATTTGGGGAGGGTGATGATTTTTTAAAATTCTTTTTTTTTTAGCCTGAAATTTCATATTTATTTTATATATATTTATTTTACATATTGTATATTTAATATGTAATTGTTTTAAGTATAAATATTAATTATATATTTATTGTATATATTTTAATTTCAATCTTTTTGTAAAACTTCCACCTCTGGCCTCTAATAAAATTCTTTATGTGTTCTAGATAGAAGGCCTTTGTTGGAGGGGTAGTCGGTATAATTTTTTCCCAGTTTGTGGGTTTTCTTTTTACTCTGTTGGATATTTGCTTTGAAGTGCAGAAACTTTTTAAAAAGATGAGATCCCAGTTATTGATTCTTTGAACTATTACACATGTAGTTTGGATTTTGTTCACGAACTCTCTACCTGCCCCTATGTCTTTGAGATTTCTACCTACATTTTCCTCCAGAAGATGCAGTGCTTCTGTTTTAGTATTTGAATCTTTGATCTGTTTTGACTGTAGTTTTGTGCATAGTTATAGGCATGGGTCTAGTTTTAGCCTGTGCATGTGGAAAGCCAGTTTTTCTAGCACTGTTTATTAAAGAGGCTATCTTTCTTCCATTGAGCATGTTTGGCCCCTTTATCAAAGATAAGTGGCTTACTATGTTTGCAGTTGTGTCTGCATCTTCTAATATGTTCCATTGATCTTCAGATCTGTCTCTGTACCAGTACTATACTGATTTCATCACAGTAGTTTTATATTATAATTTCAAGTAAGGGATTGTGATACTTCCTGCCTTTCCTTTGTTTCCCAGCATTGCTTTTAATATTCTGGGTCTGTTCTGGTTGCAAATGAATTTGAGGAAAATTTTCTCTAGCTCTGTGAGATATACCAAAGGTATTTTAATTGGGATTGTGTTAAATCTGTATAACAGTTTTGGGAATATGGCCATTTTCACAATGTTGGTTCTTCCTATCAAGGAGCATGGAATATCTTTCCATTTTCTCAAATCCTGCTTGATCTCCCTTCTTATAGTACTGTAATTTTTACCAAATAAATCTTTTACTTCCTTTGTGAAATTGATTTGTAATACATTTTTTGTATGTTATTGTGAAAGACATGGTTTCCCCAATTTCTCTAAGTGTGTTCTTTGTTTTTGTACAAAAAATGCTATTGGGTTTTGAGTATTGGTTTTGTATCTTGCTATACTACTAAATTTGGTTATTAAATCTACAAGTCTCTAGGTAGGGTTTTGGAGTCTTCTATGTAGAGTATCATGTCATCTGCAAATAATGATACTTTCACTTCTCTTCCAGTCATTATTCCGTGTGTGTGTGTGTGTGTGTGTGTGTGTGTGTGTGTCTCAGGGGTAGAACACAGGGCTTGTGCTTGCCAGGCAAATGCTTATTCCATTGAGCTGTCTCCCTGGTTGGTCCCATTAGTTTTCATTTTTGTTTAGGTCTTTCTCTGGTTTTAGTATCAGAGTAATACTAGCCTCCAGGAATGAGTTTGGGAGAATTGCTTCCCTTTTAATTTCATTTAAGAGTTTTATTATATTGCACATTGTTATCTTGAAAGTAATTACTTTAAATTAATGGTTAAAATGTAGTTTCAAGGGCAGTTTTTGAGAAGCAATGTGATTGAACTCTGCCTCCATCTCTTACACACAGCATATTGGGTGAATTAACTTCAACCCTGAGCCACTGCTTTGACAACAGTGTTTGTGAGTATTAGCATAGATGAGGTAAAACACCTGTTATAGTACTTCAAAGATAATAGATAATAATAGTAATATATATACAACATTTTGTAACTGTATTCATTATCACTTATAAATGCTAGATTATATTTTATATGTACATCATCTTGTACTGTGTCATGTAAATAGCAGGCCATTGGTATTACCAGTCTGAATTTACAGCACTTTATTACTGACTGTTCTGTCATTATGCAACCTTTGTGGACCAAAGATCAAAAGAGAAGATCATTGTAAGATTGTCATGCTTTTAGTGATAAGCTTTTCCCTAACATATGGTTATGTCAGAGTAGCCTCCTCTGCATTTCAGGAAACATTACCAGGTTTTAAATGGATTGGAAGTAGGATAAAAAACCTCCTGGAAAATGGGAAAGAAGTCCTTTTTGCATTTGAAGAATCTATTGGTATGTAGTAAATATTAATTTTTTGAAATTTAATTGAGAGAATTTTTTGCATTTTATATTTTGAGTTGTAAAAACTGCAGAGAACTCAAAAATATGTTGTACGTTTTTTATCAAACAAAAAGAAAAAGAAACTAAAGGCTTCCTGCATATGTTCAGTATTAATGGCTTTCAGCTATCTCAAGGCTCTTAAATTCACTTGTTCTTCTGAGTAAATTTAAAACTTCTAAAATTGTAGGCTTAAATTTTTCCCTTTCTAAAGATAGTTTTCAGGGGTCTGGGAGTAGAGCACCTGCCTGGTAAACAGGAGGTCCTGAGTTCAATTCCTGGTTCCAAAAAATGATACTTTTTAATCCTCAGGTTTTCTGTGTGGAACTTCAGTATTAGATAAAGATGGGGTGAGTGCAGCTGTTGTTGTTGCTGAGATGGCATCTTATCTGGAAACCATGAATATAACATTGAATGAACAACTGATTAAGGTTTATGAAAAGTAAGTTCTGTTATACTAGATCAGTGCTTTTGTTGTTGTTTGTTTTATTTTGGTCTTACCGTTAGTTTTCTAAATTTGTTTTGAAGATTAGTTCATCCTTTTTTAAAAAAAGTATTAAAACTGTCTGAATTAGAAACTACTACTTTCTACAAAACATTGTAAAATTGGCTTTCAAAGGAGTTATATGAAATGTAACCTTAGCACTTTAAATCTTTGTGCAGATATGGTTATCATATGTCAAAAACTTCATATTTCTTATGTTATGATCCATCTACTATCAAAAATATATTTGAAAGGCTTCGTAACTTTGATTCTCCAAAGGAATATCCAAACTTCTGTGGATCATTTGCTATACTGCATATACGGGATGTTACCACTGGATATGATAGCAGTCAACCTAATAAGAAATCAGTAAGTACCCATCGTTTTTGTAAACAATGAAGTAAATTTAATGGCCAAACCTAGAGGTAGGGCAGGTTTCATTTGAGACTCAACTCAATTTCTCTATGTTAACTAATTTATTATAAAGGTTGTAATTTAAGAATAATCAGATGTAAGAAATGCATAGGTAAAGATACTAGGGGGTGAGGGAAGAGCACACTTCCATGCCTTCTTTTAGTATACTACCCTCCCAGAAAACCCATGTGTTCACTGACCCAGATGTTCTCAAAATACCTAATTTTTAAAATTTTTTAATATTTGAGTGTTTACAAAAAAGCATCAAAATTGTCAACATAGACATTTTTAGTGTATAAAGTCTACAAAATAACAACATAAATTCTTATATGAGCTACAGAGAAAATACCAATAGGATTCTAAAACAAAAATAATCTTTACTTCAATTTTTACACCTAAGGCGGTCCTTACACATAAAAATAGCAAGTTCCAAAAAAAAAAAAAAAAGCAAGTTCCATACACATGCATTGCCTACGCTGACAGCACATGGGCTTTGTTCTGGCATTTTTGTAGGGAATACTTGATATCTCATAGGTCTTGCTGTTCTTGCAGAAAGTTATATTTTACAAAATATTGTTGAACTATTAAATTCTTACTATGTAGTGTACATTTAGAGTAAACACCAACATTTTCATATCAGCTGTGTACTTACAAAACCTAAAAGATAACAGTAGAAATAAATTGCTCTGTATAGAATAGGATACATAGAATACCAATAGAGTTCTGCAGCAAAAATAATCTTTGCTTCAATTGTCAAACCCCAGGCAGCCTTCACACATGGTACGTGCTCAGTGCACACATCTTGCTTCCACTGACAGTACATGTTTAGCTTTCTTTTCCTATGTGGCAGGCCGTTCTTGTCACTTCTCTCATCTCCCTGATTTTTTTAGTGTGGTTTCCTTTACTTAAGTTTATTGGTACATTGGAGATATACATAATGATCACATTCACCATAGAAATAGGGTTTCGAAGATAGTGACTTCAACTTTTAATTTTTTGAGACAGGGTCTTGCTTTGCAATTCAGACTGGTTTTGAACTCACTCTGTAGCCCAAGATGACCTTGCTTGTGGCAATCCTCCTGTCTCAGCCTACTGAGTGTTGATATTATTATTTGGCGGGGGGGCGGTGAGGAAGGTTTCTTCCTCCATAGTCCTTGCTGGCCTTGCAGTGGTGCAGATCTTCCTGCCACAGCCTCCCAATTGCTAGGATTACAGGTGTGCACTACCCCCAGTTGAAAGTGTCTAATTAGTTTTAGAAGTTTTAAGCAATTAATAATAATTTATACTATAGCAAAATAGTGGGATTTTAGGCCTGTTTTTCAAGGTTAGAGCTCATTGTTTTTCTCCAGAGTAGTTTTAAGTCCACTAGCTAGTATCCCTGATTCTAATCTTCCATCACTCCCCCGATAACCATTTATACTACCCTGGTTTGAGGAGGATACAGGAAGAGAAAAAGAGAGAGACAGTAAAAGGAGAGAAAAAGTAAGTATGTGTGGATGCTAAGTCATGTTGCACATAAACCCTAAAGCCCTGTCATTTCAAAGCCACACATCTTTCTAATTACCACTTTCCTTTTCAGTTTTACTCCCATACCTGTAGCCAAACAGAACAACCTATAGTTCTCTATGTACATACATATTTATTTCTGTATTTTCCCTCCTCATTTGCAAATACTTTATTCAGTTTTGTCTTCAATTGTGTTTTTCCTTGGAATACATTTTACTTTCCTTCTTTCCCCCTCCCCTCATCTCTTATTCCCCTTTCCATTTGAACAAGTTCTGACTTCCTAATATCTTTCCTCTATTTTGATCATTCTTGATATTTTGGGTTCTTCACAGAAAAAAATCCAATGAGATCTTTAAACTTGTAGGCTTGATTTATTTCACTTAATATTATGCTCTCAAGGTGTGTCCATCTACATAAATATTCCTCAAGTTTATCTTTCTTTATGGAAGAGTAGTACTCCATTGTATATGGATAGATTTTCTTTTTCTTTCTTTCTTTTTTTTTTTCTTGGCGGAACCAGTGATTGAACTCAGGAGCTTGTGCTTACCAGGGAAGCACTTATTCTACTGAGCCATCTCCCCAGCCCCAGATTTTCTTTATTTACTCATCTGTTTTGGGGCATATGGGCTGTTTCTAGGATGTAACTATTATAAATTGTGCTGCTATAAACATAGGTATGTGTCTTAGTTACTCTTCTCTCCTTGCTGGGACAAATACCAGACACTCAAAATGAGGGAAGGAAAGGTTTATTTAGCTCACAGTTACTGGA